CCCTCGCGCCATCTGGTCCACGCACTGCTCGCAAGTAAAGCGTCTTCACAGGTCGGCAGATACGCCTCACCTTCGAAAGGGTGGCTCGTGGCTGCCTACCCCAAAGCCCAGCCCGGGGCATCGATTTCTCTTGACGATTTCACTTAAAAACGCTGGTGCAGATGGGGTTTTCTCTATAGAAGTCGGAGCCTTGCGTCCAAGGAGAGGCAGCGTGCGGCTCCATGGACTCGGCCATCTCCCGCGGGTGAGAGGGCGAGAGGAAGCATTCCCGCCCTCTGAGGCGGCCGTCCGAGTCGAGGAGGCAACCACACAACCATCCCCGCGGGTGTGGGCGGCCTTATCGGCCCGCTATGCTAACCCAAAGTCGGCCCTTCCTCGCGGTCGGCTGCGGAGGCCCCTTAGCCCTAGCCGGAGCTAAGGAGCCCGGCTTTTTCTGCGCTAACCCTAGGGGAAATCGCTCCGGAAGGGTTCCCGGCACCATCGGGCGGCGCCACACGGATGGAGGGAGTCGGGTTTGCCATTGGCGGGCCGTGAGGGCGCTGAGAACTCAAGGCTGAGTTTTCGCTCCACTTTCGATGTGGCGGAGTATAGTTATCGAGGTTCTCGAGGTGGATATCCTTTGGCCGCGTTGGGTAGCGAGGATTGGTGTGACGCGATCCACGCAGGCGTGTTTTCTGGCGGCCGACCGTCAGTGCACGGAGTTGCCCCTTCTCCGACTGCCCCGGCTAGTTCCCGAGGTCGTCGGGTGTGACCCCTGCGTCCCCCGAGACCTAGTGCGGGTGGGTTGGAGGGGGCTCGCTGCAGGGAAGGGCTGTGTAAGAAGCCGATCCCCGTAGTCCGCCCCACTCCTCCCCATCGGGCCGCATAAGCGGCCGCGCCTCGCAGATTCGTTTCTCGCGCCTGGGTCAGGCGCGCGGGGCATCCCCCGGGTCGCTCGACCAGCGATCCGAAGAGTGGCCGCTATGCGAGGGACAGAGCGGGGCCCTCGGGGTACACTTCCTACGCGATTTCTCAAAAAGGAGGACTCTGCTGACAGGGTTTGCGACGAAGAGTTTTTGCGCAGCGGCTCAGCACCAACCTTTGCATCGCAGGGGCTGGCTGCGTGGGCCCCCACCACCGGACTCCGTCAGGCTCGCGTCTCCCTGCCCACGCGGGAGCCTGGGTGGAGCGCAGTGTGTGTGTATATGTCTGTGTCTGTGTCTGTGTCTGTGTCTGTGTCTGTGTCGGTGTCCCTGTCGTGTCGTGTCGAGAGCTAACTCTCTCGCACTATAGCCGCTCTCGGTCTCGCCCTCTCTCGCAAGCCTTTCGCTTTCGCCTCCGCCGGGCCCGGCCCGCACTGCGCACGCTCGACAGAACCCGGACGATCGGTGCGTGTTTGCTTCTCTACGAAAACACACACTCCCGCAGCGCCATCGTGCATCGAGAACGAGAGACTTTGGCGAGCCAACGCAGCCGAGAGTCGAGAGATAAAATCTCCGCAAGACGGGCAAGTCGCAAGAGACTAGAGAGAGTCAGGCCGCCCGCAAGAGAGTCAGCTGTCAGGCCGCGCACAGCGCGAACTCCTCGCCGTACTGAGCCTAGCGCAGCGCGAACTCGCCGTCTGAGCCTAGCGCAGCGCGAACTCGCTCCTGTTCATAGCTGCGCAACCCTAGCCGAGCTCCATTTTTTTGCCGTATGGGTATGCTTCTTGCTTGCTTCGTCCCTGCTATCCTTCGCTCGCCGCCGCCAGGCGAAAATCTGCCCAGGCGTCCTTTAGTAAAGAAGAGAAAAGAAATCCGCGGTCGCGCTCTTTGCGGGATACGGCTGGCAGCTCACCTACAACGGCAAGCTCTACGAGAAGAAAGAACTTGGGATGTGCGAGCTAGAGAGAGAGAGAGAACGTTTGTTTGTGATTGGTGGCAGCAGCGAGCAGCGAGCGCGTCCTGTCCGACTAATTAGTCATTGTTGCGTAATCTGTTACATGATCTGTGCCTCAAGCCACCTCCAGCTCAATAGCATCAAAAAGAAAACGCATCCGCTCATGAACTGGAAATTGCTGGAAGCCGCGCGCATCTGCTTCTCCAGCAGTTCCATATTGCCACCCGCACACGAGCATCCGCCCCCTTGCACTTCGAGTCTCGATGCTCGCCGCGCTTCCTCTCGCGTGTGGCTTCGCTGCGCCGGCGCTCCGGCCGCGGAGCGTGGCGCCCGCAGTGTCCCGCAGCGCGCCCCTTCCATTCATGGTCGCAACCCTGCCCAGCCCCGAGGCTCCGTCTGCCGCCGACTATGAGGCCGAGACGGTTGAGGACATTATCGCCCGCATCCCTCTCAGCGGGCTGCAGGGCAAGGCCATGCGGGTGGAGAAGTCGGACATTCCGACAAAGGCTCAGGTGCGACAGGCGATCCCGGCTCACTGCTTCAAGCGCAACACCGCCAAGTCGATGATGTACGCGGCCATCTCGGTCGCGCAGTCGGCGGCGTGCCTTTGGGCAGGGACGCTCATCCCGATGAAGGCGGCCTTTGCGCCGCTGTGGCTGGCGTACGCGGCCGTCACGGGCACGGTGTGGACGGGCATGTGGGTCGTCGCGCACGAGTGCGGCCACAAGGCCTTCTCCGACAACCTGAAGCTGCAGGACGCGGTCGGCTACTTTCTCCACACGCTGCTGCTCGTGCCGTACTTCAGCTGGCAGCGCTCGCACGCCGTCCACCACGCGCACACGAACCACATCACCAAGGGCGAGACGCACGTGCCCTTTGTCGTCCACGGCCGGGAGGGCATCGAGAACGGCGGCGGCGAGCACGACCTCGAAAAGGCGGAGAAGCTGGGCAAGCGGGCGTGGGGCACGCTGCAGCTCGTGTTCCACCTCGTCTTCGGCTGGCCCGCGTACCTGCTGTGGGGCGCCACCGGCGGGCCAAAGTGCGGCTCGAGCCTGCCCGCGCGAGCGATAGCCGCGGAGAGAGCACCTCTTGACCCGAACGCCCGCCCCGCCGCCTTGCCCCGCCTCGGCAGGTACGGCACGTCGAACCACTTTGTGCCGGTCAAGCCGTTCAACACCAACCTGTGGCCCGCCTCCTGGCCGCTCAAGGTTTGGCGCTCCGACCTCGGCATCGGCGCCATGCTCGGCGTCCTCGGCCTGGTCGCCTCGAAGATTGGCGGCGCGCGGCTGGCGATGCTGTACGGGGCGCCGTACCTCTTCACGAACGCGTGGCTCGTGCTGTACACGTGGCTGCAGCACACCGACGTGGACGTGCCCCACCTCACCAACGACGAGTTCTCGTACATGCGCGGCGCCTTCCTCACCGTCGACCGGCCGTACGGCCGCGTCTTCGACTGGCTCCACCACAAGATCGGGTCGACGCACGTGGCGCACCACATCGACTGCACCATCCCGCACTACCACGCGCGCGAGGCGACCGACGCCATCGCAAAGGCCTTCCCCAAGGCGTACCTCTACGACCCCACGCCGATCCACACGGCGCTCTGGCGCGTCGCGAGCAACTGCATCGCGGTGAAGCTGCAGCCCTTTGGCGGGCGGTACACGTGGGTGCCGGTGGGCAGTCAGTAGGCGGGCAGCCTTGCAACATGGACGCATGTCGCATGTATAGCTTGGCTCCGGCTTAGCCCGATCTGTCTGCGCATGCGGCCTTCCCGGCTTAGTAGAGGGGTGGCGGTCCTTTTTCGGTTCCATCTGCTGTTTGGTCCCGCGCGCGCCCCCCCTATTTTTGAGCTAGCCTTCGATGACGATGTTAAGTTGTTACAGAAACAAGCGAAGGGACATGTAAAAAAGAAAGAAAGAAAACAGCCAACCAAGGGAGGGATGATGGGAGGACGGCACGCCGCCACCACACAGGGATTTTAAGAAGAGGGGTGTGATGCGCTAGCCGTCGCCCACCCTTGCGGGACTTTGTTTTTTTTCGACCGCGGCCAGCCTCGCGCCAACATGTACGAGGACGACGGCCGCTACGACGACCCGGAGGACGGGGATGGCAGCTTCGACGACAGAATCGCGACCACCGGCCTCCACGGCTTCAGCGGCCGGCCGTACGTGCCTCCTGCGAGCAGTGCCGACGGGAGCGGGCCCAGCTTTGGCGACAACATGGAGTCGCACTTTGTCGTGCCCCGCCGGCTGCGCGACAAGCCGTACGAGCTCATCGAGGTGACTGCTCGCCCGGAGAGAGCACGACGGGGACGCTTCGCCAGGCCGCCGGCCGCCAGGTAGCCGCCGCCGAGCCGCGCACCCGCCCTCCCGAACGCGTCCGCAGGCGGCCAACGACTGGCACTATGCGATGATGAACGACCTGCCGCGCAACGAGTTTTACCGCTCCGCGCTGCGGCAGCTCATCACGCCCGAGTCGTTTGTCCTCGAGATTGGCGCCGGCTCCGGGCTGCTCTCCATCATCGCCGCCTCTCTGGGCGCGCGGCGCGTGGTCGCCATTGAGGCTAACATGCACCTCGCCAACGTGGCGCGGCAGATCATCCACGCCAACGGCTACGGCGACCGCATCCACATCATCAACAAGATGTCGACCGACGTGAGCCCCGAGGAGCTCGCGCAGTACGGCGGCAGGCCGACCCTGCTCCTCTCCGAGATCCTCGGCACGCTGCTGCTCGGAGAGTCGGCGCTGCACTACGTCGCGGACGCGCGGAGGCGGCTCCTCGGCCCGGGCGGCGCGGTCGTGCCGCCTCGCGGCGCCCA